GGGGGGGGGGGGGGGGGCGATGGCCAAATCCACAGCTGCTTCCAACTAACTCTCAGTTTCAGCTCCAGTCAGTGAACTTTACTGGCTTCAAAGCAAAAGTAGACAGAACGGAGGATTTCTCTTCCTCTTCCTCCAGCAGACTGTTTTTCTGAGGCTGAATAAAAAAAGCTTCTTTTCTTTCTGTCCTTTTTTAATTTCCATTTTTTTTTTACTGTGTTCTTCTTTCTTTGCTTCTTGTCATTCTGCTTCCCTCGGTTTCATTTTTATTAAATTCAGTTTCCCTTCCTTCCTCCTCTTTGATGTCTTCTTCCTTTTTTCTTTCATTCCTTTAAGTTTTATTTCCTTTATTTCATCTTTGCTTCCATCCTTCCCACCATTTCCTTTCCCTTCTTTTTGCCTCCTTCCTTCATTCCAATTCCTTCCCTCCTTCCTCCCTTGCGTCCATTTAATTCTTCCTTTCAAATTTTTCCTTCCTTCCCACTTCTCATTTTCTTCCATCCTTCATTCTCTCATGTCTCCGCTCTTCTTTCTCATTTTCTTTTCACAGATTTTAAATCAAGTTTCTGGTTTTATCTTTCCGTGATGTAAACACTTTTTCTCCCACACATCAAATTGTTTTATCTTCATGTAGAAAGACAAATTAACAACAGAAACACACACACACACAGAGGATGAGTCATCCTCCTCCTCTCCACCTCTGGTGAAGCACCATTAACCCGCAGCTCGCCGCCGCCTCCAAACACAAATAAGCAGAGCTGATGTGCGATTGCGTTCTCACGTAATTGTAGAAAATTGTTGGAGCTCATTTGGACCAGTCCTCTGTAACATCTGAAACACCCTGCGGTTCTGGTAATGTAGACGAGGTTTGGATCTCAGACCTGGTCTGAGAAGATCATGAGTGAATATCAGAGAGATCTGATCTGAGCTCGTGGTGATAGACACGGAGAGGACAAGTACTAATATTCAGGTTCTGTGTTTTATCATATTGACTCAGATGTAAATCGAGTTAAAGAAGAATAAAAGAGGAAACAACTGTGTAGGTTGTTTCTGCAGTGACGAAGGTGGAATTCAGCTGCGGTCCGGTGGACGTATGGGTCCGTACAACAAAACTATTGTTCTGACAGTGAAAACTCAGACTTTATATAAAGATGGACGACAGAACGCACGTTTGACGTAAACAGACGGTGAAACGTCATGACTGACAGCTGAGAGTGAAATGTGATTGGTCCAGGAGTGTGTGTACGGGCGGGACCTTCATACCACGGCTCACTACTGCTTATTTTTTGCTGTGTCTTCTTTTTATCCACCGATATCTTGATCATTCAATCACCCGTAATCGCGTGTTATTACTGTAACCATGACAACAACACCTAAACAATTGCACATTTTAACACAAAGCATCATTATTTCATCATCACCATCTAACACAGTTCTCTTTGCGCTCGAACTTTAACCAGAACCGTAGCATATTTATTTCGGCAGCGTACCTGTGGAACGTCTCATCTTCAGGAGGTCGGGTCGTAATTCAGGAAACGCTCCTTTCGGGTGGAAAAACAAATTGTCTGAAGACCTGAAGAAAGAAGAACGTGGAAATTAATGGTGAAAGTTTGTGGAGGTTTTATTTTCTTATTCCTCAACTCACTTAAACGTTAAAGGATTTCGATATTTCGATATTCGATAGTTGGACATTAAAGTGCGTTTGACTCCTTTGGATCTTTCTTTACTTTTCCTGGATCTGAGTTTTGCCGCTTCACACAGACTGAAGAAAAACCTTCAGTGCAGACAAACTGAACAAACCCCCTCATGTGCAGAGAGCTGAGGCCGACACAACATCACCACTCAACGCCAGGTACCCGCAGCACAGTTGTGGTTGGCCACAGCACCACCGTGGGCCCCGGGGCCTGTTCACATCTACACACCACGGGAAGCGTCAGCTGAAGCTTCACACCGACCGACTGAATCTCCATTTCCAGCAGGTTGTTTCAGACGAGGCTGTCAGCGAGAGAAGCCGTGTCCTGCTGAGTCTCATTTATAAAGGCGAGCCTCGGCTGCGAGCGCACCAGTGACAGCTCCGAGGGGGAGAAATGTGGAATTCATTTGGCCCTTAGCAGCGGTCAGCTCGTGGGGACGGAGGAAATATGTAGGAGTGGATGCAGGGGAGAAGACAGCGTAATAAAAAAAAAACACAATAGAGTAGAAATCTGCCAGTTTCTACTGTTTTATGATAATTGAACACCAACACGCAAGAGTGACTGTAAGCTGTTCCAGCACCGAGTGGAGGCCTGTCATCTTTTCTTAATTACGTCTTCATCCACTCACATGTGTCTGTTTTCCAGCATTGACCTGATTCCCACTGTTGTTGTGGTTGTGCTCTGCTGCGTTCAAGTGCAGTTGGAAACTATAACCAGGCAGTAAAAGCAAATTAAAAAAGGTATGAAAACATGTTTGTGTCATGAAACAACAGATTTACTTTCAGCTTAGTGTCGTTACTGTGGTTTTAAAAAGCAGGTACGGAGAAAACTAAGATGTCAAAGTATAATTCGGGAAGTCAAAGTCATTTTAGGTAGGTTTCTCATCACACTGATGTTTGTTCATGTTTCTGATAAACGTGGTTTCCACATCATTAGTATCTGGAGACACGTCGCTCCGTCTTTATTTTGAGTTTATGATTAAAAACAACTGGGACGTGATGGACGTAAACATTAAAAAGAGTTTGCTGCAATACTAAATATTTAATTTCCACACAACCTATAGTATAATCAGTTAACATCACAACACAACACTGTGGCGAACAGATGCTTGATGCTGTTGCCCCTGAAGGTTCAGAAAAGACAAACTAACTCAAATCCACCACATATCAGAGTCTCGTAAGAGGGTTGTGCAATATGACATTTTCCCAGAATGCTTCTGTTTCCAAACCACCAGAATCGCAGCTCTCTGTGTAAACTCATGTTTTCTCCTCGCTGACATCAGCCCCGACATGTTTACATGTTTACATCACAACCATCGTTTCATCATCTGTTCCCGTCGTTGACGGATCTTTAGGGAAAGTGTGATGTGAACTTTACAACGTGCTCCACTGCGGCAAATGTGGTTTGATGAGAGGCAGCAAACTCACATTGAATTACATAAACTCGGTGGTTGAGACTGTTGAGTGTTTTCTTTTCAATGCACCATGAAGTGAAAGAGCCATCTCCACTAGGGGGCACTGTTGTGTCCTGGTGAACTCCATGCTCTGCACATGTTTACGTTGCGGTTACATTATTGGAGTTGACTGGAAATCCACGGAACCTGAGCCCGGACAGGATTTCTCTTCTGTCTTAACAGCAGCGACACACAAACAGACGCTGAACCCACAGATCTGAGCGAGTTTCACACTCCCGGACACCACGCGTTGAGGGCGTGCGCTGGCTTCACCAGGTCAAATTCCTCAACACCTTCCCTCCTGTATCCCTGCCTGCTGTATTGCACTTGGCACCCGCACCTCTCGCAGCTTCCTGACCCGTCCGGAGTCCTCATATTCTCTGTCTGCTCCTCTGACCCCCTCGTCGTGTTTGTTTTCCAGTTTCCAGGAAGAGAGGCTTTCTTGTGGTTTCTCCCCGTGTGCCCCGTGCTGGGCGTTGCTGGCATGGACGCCGTGCTTTTATTGTGATCCAGAATTGGGAATCCTTCAGCCAGGATGAAGTCGTGCGCAGGAGTAAATTTAGGTTTGTCACGTCCACTCCACACAGAGAATGTGCTGGTATGAAAAGACACAAACACACCTCGGGTTGCGAGCACAGTTATAAAACTAAGGCCGTAATCAGAGCTGACGACGTGCTGTCTGCAGCATGGGCAGAAACTACACAGTCGAACTCTGGGGATCTGGATTCGCTCTTTGCTCTCCGCAGCACAGACAGTGGCACTATCTAAACACGACCTGGTCTGAGGCATCTGCCTGTACGAGGCTCTGCTTAGCTTCACGCTAACTGGGCAATGACAGGGCTGAAACCATCTGCCAGCACCTACAACCACAGCACCAGAGGTTAATCACGGCCTGAGGAAATTAAGAAGAGCTGGATTTTCCTTTTTCCTCCTCAATTATTACACTGATCCTGCTCCAAGAAAAATAATTGATGACTGAGGCAAAAGACAAAGGTCAGAGGAGGTTTTTTTTAAAGTCTGTATTAGATTTGACGGCAAAGCGATGACAGGAAGTGAATGCAGAAAGAAAGATGGAGAAGGACGGAGGCCTCCATCCAGACTGGTGCTGTGGAACCTGTGGTTTATACACAACCATTGTTTCCCCTCTGGACACTTTAAACCCTGAATGTTTTCAACCCACTGGAGAAAAACATCATCAAAAGTTTCAGTGTCGACAAACTTCATCGTAAAACAAAGAATAAAAATGAGCAGATCAGAGGGAAACACAGAGACCAGTGAAAAAAAACTATTTCTGTTCCCGCTCTTTGTCTTTTAGTTTACAACCTTAAAGAGAAATCTAATAAACCAAACATTCAGATCACGTTGATCTCAGCCACTCTCCCACAAACAAGAATTTAAAACGACTGCAAATGATTCGGTTTTTCAGGAGAAATCATTAAGTAAGTAAAAAAAACTTTTAACAAATTGTTTTATATCTTTGTTGCAAAACCTTAAAAAGTAGATTTGGTGTCGAACTCACCAGAAGTGTCCAAAGCGGCAGGTACTTGTCCTCCACGTGTTGACAGAAGTCCAGTGTGCCCCCTGGTGGAGAAAGAATGTAACAATCACATCATGCCAGACTTATTATCCAGCAGATGTCACTAAAGTCAAAGACAAACACCTACAGGTCTTCATCATCTAACCAGGTCTTCATCATCTAACCACCACACACCAGTTAAAAGTGATAATTCTTTAATTTCTTTAACGACAGAGTTACTCTCATTTCTCTAAAATGACCTGAACTTGTTCTTGACTTTATTCAACAGCTGAATGACTCAGGTTTCCTCCACAAAGGAAAAACAACTTCACTTTTTTTTGTCAACTTTTGTCATTTTTATGGAAATTCCGTGATGACAGGACGGCACTGGGTCCCACGTCGATGGAGACGACACAACTTTGTTGCCAGTTGCAGTAGAAATCCAGCAGTGGGTCCAACATGGACCTAAAGAACTCTGACAGCTTGTCAATAAACAACAACATCAGCCGAGACATTAATGAAAGTGGATCTGCTAACGTGCAGGAAACTCAAATATCAATGTGCAGGAATATTTCTTGACATAAAGAGTTAGAGACAAACTGGACAAAAGTGGGCTTTGATGTTTACATTTACAGTTTTTCATTAAGAAGAAAAACTAAAATTCACAGCATCACTGAGCTGCTGATTATATGATCTGAAGTAAATTAAGAAAAGATCAGTAAATCTGCTGATAATCTATATATTATACTATATTATATACTTTGTACTATTGTATAATGAATTATTTAGTACTAGATCCTGCAAACCAGACCTGCTCCCAGTCCATTAAAGTTAATCTGCATGTGCAACATCAAAGTAAAACCCTGTTACACTGCAATTACAATTTCCCCACAATGGGAGAAATAAAGGATAATCTTATCTCATCTTATCTACGATCCCTTTAAACCAGAACCAACGAGAACAGATCCCAATAATCAGCCTGTGTTTCCAAAGCCCTGAAATATCTTATTCCTCTGAGCCATAAAACTACATTTTTATCCTAAAACTATAAAAATAATGACAAGAACAGATGAGTGAAGTAAAGGTGACGTAGGAGTAAACACACACACACGAGGGACAAAACCTGAATGCAAGAATAAATAACAGAAGAAATGCAGATGCTCGCTCACACTTCCCACGTTCAACTGCCTGCAGCTCTCATCACATGTCACTGTGGGTTACAATCTCCGGCGAAGGCCCTGAAATCTAAGTATATGTTGCGAGGAGTTCATTACAGGAGTCTGGATGTGAAGACGGAGCTTCTCTCGCCCGAGGCGTCTCTCTATCAACAGCTGGAATTCCACCGAGCTGCCGAGGAGCGAGAAACGCAGGAAACTGGAGACGGCCTGGAAGTGAGAGGTGTACACAAAGCGACGAGGCCTTTGTGACGATCTGAGGAATGTTCCGGCATCAACACTTTTAAAAGACTATTTGATGTCCAGCACTGTTTCTTCTTTCCCACCTTCTGAGACAAATACATGATCCTGAGGACGAATGCATTCACACGATGAGCACAGTCATTGCTTTAATACAAAATATAATCATTCTTTATGTTACCTGACTTTTTATATCCAGATATTAACTTTTTCTTTTACTTTATCACCAGATATGGACAATTTCTAAATCATTCGGTTTATACTTATGACAGTTTGGTTTTGTTTTCATTTCATTTCTGTTGATGTTGATGAAATTACAAGTTTCAGAAACACTCGCTGACCCACGACCTGCAAATAAAGATGGATGATCCAACCTCTACTTCCTCTCATGGCACAAAAATGAAGCCAACGTATCCTGGATGCTGCCATCTTGTGTGAGTGACATCATTTGGAGCCAGAGTCTAAAGCAAAGCATCATGGTCCTGACGATACATTTGTGCGACCAATGGAAAGTCCGTCCCACCTGTCAATCATCATGTTTCAATTTTGAAGAAATGTGATAAAAATGCAGTTGAATTGGTTTTTGAGTCATGAAGACATATAATTTCTCTTCCTCGTCCGTTAAGCTCTCGAGTTGTTAATAGTAGAAAAACATGTGAAATTTAAGATACAGGTTAAGAATACCTTATACTCTCGCAGTAATATTATGGGAATAAGGTTGTTTGACTACTTTAACTACAGTTTGGATTCCACCTCTTCCGAAACAAAAGCAAGAATCTACCTTTCCACTTTCTCTCCCCACCAACATCCTGTGCACGGTTAAGTTGCTGCAGGCTCTGGTGGTATTAGAGCCGGGTCACTGCAGGAAACAGGGGCCTCCTCCGCACTGAGCCGCTTCATTAAGTGCTTCAGTGATGCATGAGGTCGCAGACAGACGAGCAGACGAGCATCTAAACTGAAGAGCAGGAACCGTTTTTTTTTCTCCCAACACACCTGAATATACATCATGTTATCATTAACAGCTGGAGCATCTGTATGAGAAGAGCACAGGTACAGCAGAGGGTGAAAAACAAGCAGTTTTAATGGAGTAAAAAAAATAAAGGACCATTTCATTACATGTTAATGTTCAGCATCCAGTGTTACACACAATACAGAGTTAAACTGTTATAACTAACAAACCCTCCTCCATCAGTCACATGACTCGTTGACGTACCTCACTTCACTGATGAAGCAACTTTGCAGCTTTTTTCTCATTTGAATGAACAGACATAGTGTTGTGAGGTCGGGGTCGTCCCCGAAGACACTTTCATATCATAACGTAATGTTGTCTTTTAGTTCTGGTTTCACTTCCTGTTTACACTCATTACCTCCGCCAAGGACGCTTTGTTTACAAGGTCTGCGTTTGTTTGTTTGTTTGTTTGCAGGATTACACAAAAACCAGGCAGAAGATTTCCATTTGATTTAGCTGCAGATCCGTGTCAGAGGGCAGATGCAGGAATTTTATTTTCCACTTTTTATTTTCTTTGACATTTTCACTGATTTCCCAGGGATTCATTAATCTTAACAAAAAAAAGCTGACCTGTTTAGAGAACTGATATCTCTGAGTGTGAGAGAGTTGGTGCAGCTTGATTGAAATGAGGGGAGTGTTGGGCCTTGGTGGAGGGTATGAGCTGCACACAGATGCATTCCAGTTATATAAAGCCTTGTTTTGCTCTTATAAATTGGGGGAATGGGGATTGAGCAACATGATCGTGCACCAGACTGGGAGAGTTTAACAACAGAAGCTCTTGAGTTGCATCATGAGAAGAGTAGGATTCAGGGTTTCTGGAGCTCGACACCCACTTGGGAGAAAAAAGTGAGGACATCTGGACCTCTGCTGCGTCGACTCGACACGAAAGTCCCTAAACTCTTAGATCAGAGAAAGACATGTGACCGTCTCATCCCTGCAGGATTCATGAGTCATGATGAGGGGATTTTCTGTTGCTGCTGCTTCCCTTCACGCCTGCAGAAGCTGTCCCACCAAGGCGGGGCTCCTCTCCCGGATCAGGGCTGAAGTGATCTCAGCGACCCTCGAAACTGACCTCTCCCAACGCTCTGTATCCTTAGAGAGAGAGAGAGAGAGAGAGAGAGAGAGAGAGAACATAAAATTACAGACAGACACGTTAGCAACACGCTGCCTCGCTCGTTACGTCAGCCCAGTAGTGCGACCCTGCAGGAGCAAACTTCAAAAAAACTCTCATGGAGACTCACATTTGTTCACGTTTATCGTTTCTCTCACGAGTCACGAGCTCAGTTTGAGTCATACAATTGTTTGCACAAGAGTCTGAGTTTATGGGATTTCCAGCAGCATCCAGTTAGTGTTAGCAGCCAGTTCGAACCAGCAGGAAGCAGAGTTAAACCGAACCCACTTTGTTTCTCTTGTGGAGACGTAAGCAGAGGGAGGAGGGAAGAGAACAGATCAGTGGATTTCATGTGAGCCGCATGAACATCACTGACGAGCAGAAAAAAGAAAAAGTCGCTGATGTTTGGCGTCAGCTGCCACTTTGTGATGAAGAGTGACGGGCGTCATGGATGTAGAGGACGTTCCTGAGAGGAGAAAAATCCTCCTGCTCGTTTCATATTCTCATCTCCTGACACCTGCAGTGAGTCCCACATGAAAACAGCAACAAAGTGCAAATGCTTTATATCTATTTATCACAAAAAACTCTCCTGACATCTTCTGAGTCTTCTACATGTACGGCTGCGCTTTGTCATTTTAGTTTTCTTCACTTTTGCGTCCGTCAGGTGTTAGACACGTCATTAACGCAGCTCACAGTGAATTCTCCAGAGAATATCTTGCTATTGTCTCACATGCGCTCATTTGAACATTATCCAGAGTTTGGATGGCAGGAGAAACTCTGGTTTAAGTTAAATATTAATGTGACTTGAGTCTCAGTTTGTTTGCACAGATAGAGTCGGTAAAACTTTTTACTTTATCCTTTTACTTCAGGAAAAACTTTGAATCCGTACTTTTACTTCGTTTTGAGTCTTTTCTAACTGGAGCACTACTTGAGTGACCCTAACTCACCTCTGATGATTTGAATTGCGGCCTGAAATTCACCATATTGTATTTGCATCACAGATTCTGGTGGAGGATTTTTGTTTTTCTTTATTTGGTTTGTTCAATCAACAGACGGAAGCAATTTCCTAAAGGAGGGGGAACAGAAACACCACAGAATTAACTCACTTTAACTTTCTTTTTCTTGAAGTCCTCTGAAGCTTGTGAACAAACGAGTGCTTACTTTGAGATTCATGGTGCATGATATTGGACAGATCCCCACTAAACCGCACGTTAAGACAAAAGGAGACCATACGTTCTCCCATTTGCTCTCGGTCTGTTGTGGTTGTTTTGCTTTCGTGATTCCTCTCTTCTCTTTCTTCTTCCTCTTTTTCTGCACAATGCACTTTTAATGATGTCACTCCCCTGACTCCATTCCTCAGGCAACGACGACTCCTTACTTTGATTTAGTTTCTTGATGAGGGCCGAGAACGACCTGTTTTCCGTCTTTCACAAAGTGCAGCAGTTCAGTGAACTTCACTTCGCTCCGACCACCAGCTTGCTCCTCACATGGATCCGTGCTTCATGTTTCACCTGAACTCTGATAAATGATTCCTGACTTCTGACAAAGTCTTTGATGTAACAACATGAGAGAGAGAGAGAGAGAATGTATATAAAAGGTTTTCATATCTTGAAACACAAGTCCAGCATATAAGGTACAACAAAAACAAAAAGTGGGTTTGGTGACTATCACTATCACTTTGGAGAAGACGGAACCAAACTAACAAAAAGTTGTAATAACCTGTAATTATCGTCAAAAACAGGTTTGGTTCTGACTTTCACAAGAAAAACACAGACCACTCTGACACTTACTCTTTTGACAGGTTTTCATCTAGTGGAATCAAATCATTTGAGTTGGCTTGGAAAGGTTTTTCTTGTTCTAACATCCAAGAGGAAAATAAAAAAAAGATTCTAAAAATATATCCCGCTAAAATGACAGAATATCTGCTTTTCGTGAACGTCAGATCTAGTTTCCAAATGCATTTTGCCTTTCAGCCATGTGTCAGCAGTTTAACACCTTTGGAGCCGAGTGTAGGATCAACTGTCGTCTCTCGAATCGTAAACCCAAATCCACCGAGCGGCGTCAATGACGGCTCAGTTTGTGCAGGGATTGGACGGGAACATGACGAGGTGTGAGAGCGATGAGCGTGGAATCGGACCTAACCGTGGTTAATGGGAGCAAGAGACCTGGGACCCAGAACTCCCGGAGCACTCGTCCCTAATCAGAACCAGCGGAGGGGGAGTCAGATGACATGGGTTTTCCACACCGACTGAGGGAGAGCAGATCAGTGACTCCAGCTTCTCATTGATTAAAGCAACAGGGAATGAAAAAAAACAACAAAAAAAACCAAAATGCGAACGCTCTCAGTTTGATCCGGCGGCATTCAGCGTCAGCACCTAGAATAACATGCTCTTATATTTACAATTGGTAAAAGCTTAGAAGAGTCAAAAGAAAAAGAAAGTGAGTTTCTGCTTTTCTGTGGTTTCATCTGTACACGTTGTCCATGTAGGTTCATCCGTGATCAGTCAAAGGCGACAAATCAAAGTCTGACGGCATCTTTCCCTCGTTTAGAAGTTCAAAGCATTCCTCCGATAGTTATCTAAAAGCTATTACATCCTCACACGGAAATGATGTGAGATGTTACATGTGTTCGAAGGAGCTAAAAGGCCGAGGGGATGATGAATGTGATGAGCTCGATCATCAGCCGATTACCACCCAAGTGCATTGACGAGGACCATGGGAAAGTCACGAGAACCGCAGGTGTCTCGGTCGTATTGAAGACAGCTACAACCATCAAACCGCAGCTAATGACTCTATTATAGAGGTCTGTTTTCTTAAAGGCAGAATTAAAAAAAAAAAAAAAAAAGCACTACAGTTTGCAAACCAGAAAATAAGAGAAAAGCAAAAAAGCAAATCAAGATCACCAAGGGGGATCAAAGTTTCAGGCCTGTCTAAGCCTTAGCTCTGAATTATTTCCACTCCAGATATGAGGCCTTTGAAATATGAATCATGCTTCATAAAACAGCATTGTTATTAAATCGAGTAAGTGCTTGCACAGTGGAACACAAATACGATTTGAGGTCTTCATCGACTCGTGGCAGAGATTTAAGTCGTCACAACCGTCACTCAGGCTTCAACTGTGGTGGAGAAAGAATCACGACAAGGCTCGGGTTACTTAACGGCAACAAACGCAGAGACTCCGCCAAGAGACGTTTGCATATCTAACAGCCTTCAGCCTGAAATCTGGACTGCGAGGAACTTTGCAAATGGAATAAGCGCTGCTCAGTTCAGTGTGCACGGTCGTGAGCTGGTAGCTCTGCTGACCCGGCTCTGCTGCCGTTGGCGCTCAGTGCAGCTCGTGTCTTCTCTTTCCACCGAATGCCGTCCAGGATGAATAAAGCAGATTGCTAATAAGCTGCTCACTGGCTCATTGTGTCGGGCACGCAGATATTCATGAGAGGGAATACATGTCATGGGACACACGCATATAAGAGTGATAAATAAAGCACAAGCCGGGGACACACTTCATTGTGAAGGAGCATATATCTACAAATATATAAGCTTGCACCTTCACAGACACACAGAGGTGGAATGTGATCCCGCAGGGATTTGCATGTCTCCAGATCTTCATCATCATCAGAGCTTATGTCCTCCGGCGTTGACTGAGAGGGTTTTCCACCGTCTGTGTCCCAGAGTCTGTTCTAGCAGGGTACGGAGACAGAGATACCACGAGCGGACGCTTGAGGCTGAATATTTCTCCCCGACAGAAGTGGGACATTTAGATAAACATGAGGTCAAACCTGAAAAGAAGGTGTAGCTGACAGAAGCTCCTCACCTGTTTATAATTTTAATCTTCATTTATTCCAAAGGTAGACATCTCTTCATGTTCCAGAGCTTGAGTTCAGTCTGTACGAGGATTTTTTTTATGTTCTCGTTTTTTTTACGAGATTCTCTTTACGATTATTAGACGTGAGGGAAACTCACTTTCCACTTCATAATCATTACCTGCCACAAATCCTCACTTTAAGGATTTCCCAGCCACATGTATCTTCATTTATTCACATTAGTGGAGGGACTATCAGCATCAACGTTCCCCATATTAAACGCGAAAGCGACACATTTTCTTTTTAAGAGGCAAGACTTTTTTTCCACTGACAGCTTCTGCTACATCGATTACCAACACATCCAATCCCTCGGTGGCTTCGATGGCATTTGCATAGTTCCTCTTGACAGATTTCACTTTTAAAAATAGAGACTGTCAGCAAACAATATATGAACTGGTGTCGAGGGGAAAATACCACAGGATCAGAGTCATGCATGGAGAGAGAACAGGGGGCTTTATGGGGGTTACTTCATTTTTTATTTTGACTTCATGGAGCAAAGACCCGGATTCCAGTCCAAGAGAAAGTCATAATATAGAACTGAGTAGCAGCATTGTTTTGAAACATAAACAACCCAATATATTATCATCTGACCGGACGGTAACTGAAAGCGAAATGTTCTCAATTACTCCCATGTGTATGAATGCACAAACACATGCAACAGCCTTGTTATTCCCGAGCTGCAACCACAAGTTTATGGAATGGAACTTCAATCACTACCTTCTATTTTTGCGTTCCAGTTTAAAAGGGAGGATTTTGACAAGTCATGAGGCGACAGGTCTTTGAAACACAGAGCGGTGGGGGGGGGGGCACGGGGGAGGGCACAGGGGAGGAAAGCATCAGCGGACCACACAATAAGCAATCCTCAGACTTTCACTGCTCTTAAATGCCACAGATGCAATCAACCTTTCCATCTGAGAGGAGCGCGCAGCGGCACTTCTGCCACACAAGACGAGTCTGCTTTGAAGCTTAAAGGTTTGAGGCAATTAGGACCTTTAACAGTGACAATTTGCACGCCTCTGTCATTTACCCGAGATCTCCAGCCCCGAGGACGGCTTCTGCTGCTGCTGCTGAGGGCTTCCACTTCTGTTCCCTTCATGAAATGCCAAGAGCACAGGGTC